GGGATGGACTAGATGACCTTTAAAGGTCTCTTCCATCCCAAAGCATTCTATGATTCTATGATCTTGTCTGAGCCATGGTGGGCTTCCTGAGGGAGCTGGGCCCAGGCTGGTGGGGAGGAGAGGTGATGGCCATCTTGCAGGGTCATCTGTTGCTTCCTCTTCTTGGGAGGACCTCAGCCGTGGCAGTGGCTACCCCTCCAGCTACCCCCTCAGCTGCTTGGAAGAGGGAAGCTCGTATGTCCCTTGTGGTTTTCCCCCACCTTGCTCCTCCTCCTCTGTGTGTCCTTTCTCCTCTCCCACAGTCACTCCATCTGACTCATAGCTGCCAGAAACCCTTGCTGAGCCGGAAATGACACCAAGATTCCTGTGGCAGTCTCCCACCGCCACTGGAGGCCCTTCTTGTAACAGTCTGGAAATGGCTTCAGTGAGATCACTGGTGACATCAGGAGGCTATTAACGATTTGGTGTATGGCTTGGTCCTCACCCTGAGGGGAGGGACATACCTGGTTCTACCCCAAGCCAGGTTGTGGAGTGGAGGTTGCCTCACTATGGAAGGGTGCGGGGGCTGATGGGCTGAGGGCTCCTTTCCTTGGGACTGTTCCTGTGGGCCGTATTCCTTGCCAGAGAGAAAGGCTTCTCCAGTGTCATGGGAAGTGCTGTTGGCCTTCCCATGCAGGTCAGGTGCTCCAGGCCTGGTCCCATCCTGGGGACCCTCTAACAGAGTTGCTCCCTGCTGTTCCTGCCTGTAGGCACTGGGGAGCTCAAACTGGGGCCCAGCCCTCCCAGCACAGTCTTACTAGTGCTGAGCAGAGGAGAGGGCTTACTTCCCTCAACCTGCTGGCCATGCTCAAATGCCTTGGGAAACGTTGAAATATTAACTATAAATGTGCTAACTTAGCTGCTTGATATTGTTGAACTAAAAACTCGTTCATATTCTGTCTGCAAAAGTGTATAGATTTGCTTCAGTAATATTTGATTATCCAGTTTTATTAACAAGGGTCATATGCTGAATTTAGACTCTATGTTGGTTTCAAGAAACAAACACATAAAAAAGATGGGGATTTTATCCTTTTTTTTTTTTTTTTTTTTAAACCTTACCTTTCTGGTAAGAAGTTTGTTTTCTTCAGTTTCTCTTGCATCATGCTTTCCCTCTGACTTCAGATATTAAGCAGCATTTTTTTTAGATCCTCAAATCCAATTTTAGGCTTGAACAAAGTCAGCTGTTGTCTGTGTGGCAGCTGAGAAACAACCGTCTCTCTGCCTGTGTTAGCAGTCACATGCAGTTGACTTGCCGTGTGTGAACGACTGGACCAAGCATACCAGTTATGTGAATGAGAATTGTTTTCAGTGTTCATTATCCTGTGTTCAGTGTTCCTGGGGATTCTGAGGCAGTCTAAAAATATGAAGCATTCCTACAAGAGGAAAAGGAGAGCCCTTGTGTGCCCATTGATATTTGCATTCTCCAGTTTTCCCTCATTCTAGTCATGGTTTGAATATGCTGCATAAAGAATATTGGCTCAGTCTACCCTCCATCTGAGACAAACATGTATTCTGGGTGTTTCCATACACAAGTAGTTCTTTGCAAGTGCTAAACCTGAATCTATGTTGTAGGTAGATTTGTCTCCAGTCTTGCACCAGTCCCTGTCTCTTGGAAAGACCTTGGACCTATGTTTTATAGTCATGTGCCTTGCTGTTCTTGCCTGGGTTTCTTGAATGGATGTTGGACCTGCCTCTCTACCTCACCTTGTGTGACAAATCACTGAAGGGCTGATGGAGCTGGTTGCTCTCACCACCTCAGCCGTCCTTAGGTATTGCAAATCTGTATCCTGGTGAGTTAGGGGATCGCCTTGCCTGTGCTGTTGTGTTGTCTGACCTTAATGGGGCAGCCTCACTCTCACTGCTCAGAGACAGCCAATTACTTTATTAGGAAGCATAAAATATTGGTTACCTTAATGACTCTGGTAACTTTTAGCTTTTAATTAGTAAAAGGTGAATCCCACTTGGAATTCAAAACTAGCACCATTTTATTTAGGCTACTAAAAATTTAGTGTTAATGGATATCGTATGTAAATAATTACTCAATATGATTATACTGACTTGTCAGAAGTAGTGAATTTGGCCTTAAAACCATGCTTCATTTCTTATATCTGCTGTACCTGTTCTAGACTTATTGTTCTTGTCTTTGGGGCTTGGATGTGAAGAAGTAATTCATCTCTTATTTCTACTGACAGAAGTTTTAGTCACTAGTGTTTATGGTTGTGATGGTTTGTAGAATGAATGCAGCAAAGCTCCTCAACGTGAGTCACTATGTTATCAGGAACTCTGGGGATAAATCTGTCTTTCTCTCTCTTTCTACTTATTGGAGCAAAAAATGTTCACAGAGGAGTTGATCCAGTGGTAATTAAACTGAATCCCATAATCAAGAGAATCAGACGTACTGGAGCATTATTCAGCTTTGCTGGAGGAGAAAAACACACTTTCTTGCCTTTTGGAAAACCCAAAGTAATATTCTAGGATGGGCAAAGTCAAAGTTCATCCTTCCTATACCATCAACACTGCAAGTTCTTTGCAAGATTTGCATTGCATCATTGCGATTGGGTTTCATTTGTAACAGATTTTGAAGAACATTGTGGCATACAGTCATGAAGTACTGTGATTAATTACACTAGTGATTAGGAAGACCATATGGGGTGCTGGGATCTGGGCCTGTTGCATCGAGTTTAGAAGTGGTAGGCTCTTGCCTTTCTCTTACATGGTAGTTCTCACAGTACGGATACTGGCTGGAGCCGTGCTCTCACTCCCTTCCTGAATACATGAAGTCTGGATCCCCTTTCCGACTGCGAGGCAGCCTGGCCCACCATACAGAAGAAAAACTAGAAGTCCTCTCTTCTCCAGCCTGACTGAGCCCAGTTCCTACAGCCTCGCCTCATAGCTCATGTGCTTCTTGCCCTCCGGGCAGGGCAGGGCAGGACAGGGGCGTGGCTGGGCCCAGGTGGGCAGTGACAGGTGCCACACCCACACCTCCCCAGGAAGCCCCGCCCCTGGCCAGCGCACCGCCCACTGGCCATGGAAGCCCCGCCCTTCTGGTGACATGGTTAGCTTGCTCCACCTCTGTCTGCCCCTTGCAAACTGGCTGTCTGCTATATATACATGTGTTTGTGTGCATGTGTGTATGTACGCAAACGTATATTTCTCTCTCTGTATATATGCATATAAAGGAGTACAAATATGCATAAATATATTTCATTAATACGTAGATGTACTGTTTATATGTTTATATGGAGCATATATAGAAAATGTAAAGTAAGATAAATGTATCCATAAAAATGTTATACATATCACATATTGTATAGCACATCCCTTTATAAGAGCCAATTAAATGAATAATTAATGTTTAAATGTGAATAGAAAGTTAATTAACACTCGTAAAAGGCAGGTTCGGGGCCCCCGGCTTTACAAGGCAGCTGAACAAGCACTAACATGTAGGGACTGGGGGAATTCCACATGGGCGGGGGGCACCAGGACACTGAGGGGACAGGAACAGGTCGGAACATGCCTGAGGACTGCCCCCTGTGTAGCCCCATCTGCGTGGAAAGCAGAGACCCGGCCCCAGATGGTTGGGGGGTTCCCATTTTCACAGTCAGCATTGCCCAAGCCATGCAGCACCGTGCTGACCCCAGCAACTGCCCCAATTACATGGGGTGACCACGGCCATCCCAGCTGTCTGGGGCTGGACATGGGGGTCTTTTGGTGCAGCTCACAGGACAGGTCTCTGCTTTGCATGCAGAGGTGTCTAGGTTGAAGATGATTTTTTCCCGATAAGCTCTTCCTCCTGTATTTTTCATGTAAAAGCTACCAAAAGCACACTAAGTGTAGTTGGCGTGCTTATTTCTGTTTGCTGAAATATCACAATTTTAATAGTACAGCCACCAGGGCTGTTTGTCATTTGCTTTGAAGTTCTTCAGCTAGCCTTGTCAGTAGTGTTTATCTTCTTCAGAAGGGTTTCTCACTGGAAAAATGTCTCATCACATGCAGGACTGTTAAGGTTTTAATTGCTGGTTTGGGAGTTTAGGAGGTTGGATACAGCCTCTTGCCATGGAATCAGAGGAAATGACAACTGTAAGAGCTGGTACACAAGAGGGAATGTTTCTGGCTGTTAGTGGAAGAAATTTCAGTTTTCTTACTTTCCTCTTGTTTCCTCCATGACCTTAAAAGTTGGTGAAAACTGTAGTGCAAACATATCAGAAATCTGTCTTCCTGGTGTGTCCATCAGAGTTCTTCATACATCATTTATTTTCACCAGTTGTTTAAACGTTTAACATGTTACTGATGGTGGAAAGGTGGCTGAGACATTGTACGCATCAAAGTAACGGGTATTCTGCTAGCATTTAAGCATTTAATCAACTAGTATTCAATTGCACATTTTGTTTTCCAGTTCTCATGACTTTTCAGTTTTGCTTTTTTAAACTATTTTTGGGGGTTGGAGTATGTATTTTGAGACTTCTGATTTTTTTTCTTGATCTGAATGGTGATACTAGAAATACTGTGCTAGTAGCTGTTTATTCTGTATTTGTGTATGTTTTTAATTTATGGAATGCGTTTAATGGAACATTTTTCATTGAAGCTACTGTTTCTCATTCCAGTCATATGTCTAATTCTACTTTAATTAATGCATTATCAATTATGATACCTGTCTACTGCAGCACATGTTAACAATCAGTGAAACATGAAGCATTCATTATGACAAGCTTCTATGGGAAATTATACTTGATAATGTGAGTTTTACCTATTGATCTAACTGTGTTCAGCCTTCCTGTCATTTTAATTCCATGTTTCTTAAAAGTTATTGAATGCAAAATGGTGATATTCACTTGACTAGGAAAACTTACCTGATTAAACACAAAGTACTTGTGATGAAAAAAGTGAATGAGAGCACTAAAACTAGAGCTAGATTTGCAGTTCAACTTGATGAGTCACTAAACACTGTTTTCTTTTTACAGATTTCTCTTGGTGCTGATTTGTTTAATATTCAGTGTACTATCTACTATAGAGCATTACTCTGAATTTGCCACTGGAACCCTTTTCTGGATGGTAAGTGGACTTTTTTGGGAAAGGCTCTAATCAGTTTGACTAAATCTAAATTGCTTTAGGTGAACAAGGGAGATAACTGTTAATAATCCTTATGCAAAACATGCTACCAGGACATTTAAAATAGGACCTGTTTCATTCATTTAAAATAGTACCTGCTTTCATTCATTTAAAATAGTACCTGCTTTCATTAAAGGCAGGTCATAGTTTAATGGGGATGATTATTTTCTAGATCTGTAAACTATGAGGGTGCTTGATAGAGTAACAGTTTTTATATACTTGCTTTTCATAAGGTATGAAACTGTACCCTGTAGCTCTTATAGTGGACAGCTGGTGTTCATAGTCTTATGCAGCATGGAACAGGATATTCTATAGGCAGGAATGTATTTTTAAAACGTATCTCTTCTAAGTCTTATGGTAAAAAATCGGCCAAGAACCATGCTCTTCAGAAGTATTTGAATCTTGGGGGTAAGTGATTTCTGTCAGTCTAGTTTGCCAGTATATAGAACAGGAAGGAAGAGCTTCTATCACACTTCTATGCATCAGTGATTTGGCCTTGAAGTTGGTGTTTGTTAACTGTTGTGGCTGTTAGCAATCCACTAGGGTGTCAGGTTCTTGACCATACATTAAGTTTTGTACTTGGTATTTTGCAAAAGCATAAAGACATTGTGTTGCTTATCCTTTGCTTGCTATTAGGATCTTAAGTAGTAATTTAAAAAGCAGGTGTTGTGATAGAAAAATCTGCTTACTTGGAGGTATACAGAGGTTGCTTATTGTTTTCACAGTACCCAGGGAACAATTTTTTTATCACTGGACTGAGTGGCTAATTTACTGATGAAGTGTACCTGAACTGTGTTACCAGGCCTGAACTATTAACTCTCTTAAAAAGGGAAAATCACATCCCGCAACCATCTATGAACTGTTGCAACATACATACAATATTTTTAAGTGTTATTTTGAAGTAGGTGGGAAATAAAAGTAGAAATAATTTCCATGAGGACTCTAGACAATGTTCCTCTTCTGTTTCCCCCTGCCCCTCTTCATCTGTAGAAAGTTAAGAATGGAGATGAAACATCCTTGATAAAAATGGAGATCACTTTTAAACAGGTACTCACAATATCTGTATTTTAGCCACTCAAATCCTCTGATCTCAGTGTGATAATCTCAGTATTTTTATTCTAATTTCTTTTTGCTAAGTGGTGACTTCTAATGTGATGGATTTTGGTTTTCCATCTGGTTTGAAAATAAAAATCAGTTACTTGTTTTCCTATGACTTAGACTACATTAGTATATGCAGCTTTTGTGTGCAATTGACTAAGCCATCATGAGGACTCCTGAGTTATTTTGAGATTTTGATTAATGTTAATCCTGTAACAAATGTTGCTTGGCCTTTAAGCCATATTCAGTGTCAAACAAAGTGCAGTATTCTGCCAATCATATGTAGTCTTCTCATACTCATTGAAAGATGTAAAGTGATTATAGGTCAGTATAACCACCACCCAAAACAGTAATACTGGCAAGGATTCAATGCTTAGCTGATTGTTTTTGCGTAGATGGTAAGTGCATGTGCAGACACATATTGTTGGATAAAAAATCATAGAATCACTTAGGTTGGAAAAGACCTTTAAGATCATCAAGTCCAACTGTTAACCTACCACTGCCAAGTCAACCACTAAACCATGTCCCTAAGCATTACATCTACCCATCTTTTAAATACCTCCAGGGGTGGGGACTCAACCACTTCCCTGGGCAGCCTGTTCCAGTGCCTGACTACCCTTTCAGTGAAGAAATTTTTCCTAATATCCAACCTAAACCTCCCCTGGCACAGCTTGAGGCCATTTCCTCTTGTCCTGTCGCTTGTTACTTGGGAGAAGAGACTGACCCCCACCTTGCTACAACCTCCTTTTTTAACTGGATGAAGACAGATGTGTGGTTCACATGGTGCCCACATAGCATTGCTAGCTATTTTTAAGTGATGTTATCATCTAACAAATGAATCATCCATAGTCAGTGGCAGTGCTGGAACAATTTCTTGGCCACCTCGTGTTACAATCTTATCCTGGAGGATACCTCTCTTGAGTTTATTTTCCTCCCTGATGTTTCCTTAGCTTCCTTCCCAGAAACAGCCAGCACAAAGGTGAGCTGTTCTGCTGGCTACTGTAGATTCACTCGCCTAAAAAACATTTGTCTTAGAACTGTGAGTTTGCTCTGAAAGAAATTAATTTCAATTACAACACTTGAAAGATTGCTTTTAGAGCTAAGTAAATTATTTCTTTTTCATAGAGTTATGGGGTTTCTTGTTTCTAGTAGCTAAATGGTTAGAATCCTGCTTTGAGCACTTCTCCCCACCTTTACCTGAAGGAATTTCAAACTGCATCTCCCATTTTACCCAGAAGAGTGCTAGCCCCACAGAAGCCTGGAGATCATTGCTCTCTACTCTGTAGTAGGTCATTACTCTGATCTACTTCATACTGTAGTTGACTGTTCATGTAACCAGAGACAGTTTCTCTCACCAAAATATGAAAACATATGCCTATGTATTCTGCCTTCTGTGCCTTCTGCTCTCTTGAAAGTGTTTGAGAACAGTGGAGACTGCCTGTATGGTCAGAAACAAAATTGGAAGAAAGCATCTATTGGCTCAAGTTCAAAATTAAATTGATTTGTTTCTCTCCTGATCGAAGGAACCTGTAATTGTTTGTATAGCCCTGTTAGTGTGTCAGTAGCAAATAAATACTAGTATGTGATGCTTGTGGTATTTTCTCACTTGTGGAAAAACTGCTTTTCATTATATTGAGGCAGATTAACAGTTGGGAAGGATCAACTTCAAAATTCTGATGTTGAAAGTTGGTAAGGCCTAACAAGAAGGATAGCATTTGATACTTGTAGACGCTTAGATGTTTTTATATTTTCTTAGAGAGGGTGAGATGAAGTGCCAAATACAATTTTGGATAATATGTGTCACTGGGGTGGATATGACACACTAGTAACAGATGTAACTGCAGATGTGTCCTAAGCCACTAAAGTCTTGTGCTTTAAAAACTTTATTTTTTAATGTTCATAACACATCTGGGTGGTGTAAGATATTTTTTGTCAAGTGTGAAACCTATCATCATTCAAACAAGCTATGTGAATATACCAAAGAGAGAATATCATATCAAGAAGGCCCTCCAAAGCAGTGTTTGTTGTTTGAATGGAAAAAGGGGGCTGAAGAAGCAGGTGCTGGAACTTAAAGTAAAAAAAGCCTCAAACCCTTACTCTCCTCCCCCTGCCCCCCAAGCGTATGTTTTCAGGTCTCTGAAAATTCAGGTGGATTCTGGAGGAAAAAAAAATATGACTCTTTGACCCTGTGTTTGAATGTTAAGGCAAATCTATCATCTTTGACACTACTGAAGGCATTGCATAGCCACAGCTTCTGATATAGGCTGATGCTGTGCCTCCCCAAATGCTGTAAATTGCTCTATGTCCTTGCTTGGGCTTAAAGGAAACTTCTGTTCTTTGCATTTGTGAAGAAAAGACAACATGTAAATCTCCATCTGATCATCATAGTGGTAAAATCAGTTTACTTCCATGCTAGTAGCACTGGTGAAATTGCATGTCTTGAACTTGCAAATGCTGTCATTTGAAGGAGGTTTTTATTCTCATGCTACCAAATATTTTGTGTATTCACTGCCACTCTTGGGAGGGTTTTTGCCAGCTCTGTCTGAAATGATAGATAATCTAATTTAATTTTTCCATATGCATACATTGTATGATCTTTGTTAATTCCCGGTTGGTTTTTTTTGTCCTCTGACTATTTAGCAAGCCAGCAAATGAGGGAAGTGACAGTGGCATTGGCACAATGAATCATGCTGATAAACACCAACAGAATAGGTAGTGAAGAACATAATTCCTTCTGAATTTTTTATACTTACAGAGAGAAGCTTAGAGTTTCAAATCGTGTTTAAAATGGATCACAAGACTTCTAGGTAGAACAACAATGTACTTGTTATTTCACAATCCACAAAGCTTAAATGCACTTGCAGGGTTTTTTTTATTCAGATTACTACATGTGGTGTGGTATGAAAAGGAATCTCTAGTTTCCCCTGCTTTCCTTGGTTCTGGATCTGTACAGTTGGGAGTTTTTTAACTTGTCTATCCATCATTTTTTAGGATCTGCTGCATGAGAAAGTTCTTGTACAATGTCTGGGAAAACAAGCACAATGGAACAGGCCACAGTTGTGAATAAAGTGTTTTCAACACTTAAGGCAATACTACATTACCATCTGCCTTCTAAACTTGCACTGCCTGCCCCTCTCTTCAGCTCCTGCAGATGCTGGAATTTTCCAGGCAGGAAGGGCAAATAGGGTTTTCCAAGATAATTGTGGCCACTCTAGTTGCAGATTGTGTAATGGGAGGGAATAGCATCTCCATTTGTCATAGTATGCAAATGCTGGATCTCAAGAACTCTGGAACCATGTGCCTTGGTGGTTTCTTCTTTACATACAGTCATAGAATAATTCAGGTTGGAAGGGATCTCAGGAGGTTTCTAGTCCAACCTCCTGCTCAAAACAGGGTCAGTGATGAGATCAGACCAGGTTGCTCAGGGCATTATCCCATCAGGTCTTGAAAACCTTCCAGGATGGACACTGCACAGCCTTTCAGTGCAGCCTGTTCCAATGCCTGACCATCCCTCATGGTGAAGAAGGTTTTCCTTACATCCAGTATGAACCTCCCTTGTTTCAATTTTTGTCTGTTTTCTTTCATCTTCCTGCCATGCACTGCTGTTAACAACCTGGCTCCATCTTCTCAATAACCTCCTTGTATGTATTGAGAGGCAGCTCAGAGGTCCCCCATGCATTCATTTCTCCAGGCTGAACAAATCCAGTTCCCTGAGCCTCTCCTCATAGGGCACGTGGTCCAACACCCTGACCACCTTGATGGCCCTATGCGGAACTTGCTCCAGTTTATCAGTGTCTTTCTTGTAGTAGTGGAAAAAAAACAGGTGCAGTATGCTAGGTGCAATC